GAATCATATCAGAGATGAACATGAGATTGGATGGTGCTAATTAGAGGAATGAGACTTTGCTAGTGAATCAATTCCTTGGTGAAAGAAGTCTTTTTATAGAAAGCATTTTAAGTGGGATTATTGCTATCCTTTGAAACCCTGATGAAATCTTCATAGGAATTAGGTGACAATGTTTGTCAGTAAGAACACCCAAGTTGTGTCTAAGAGCTAAACCGACTTCTGATCCCTCAGAATTATCTCCTGAGAACCCTTCTTGATTGTCTCTGCAAAACCAGATTTACCTTTATATGTTTTGCCTCCAAAGTCCTTCCTACCCTCTGCTCAGTGAATAAATAAAATGCTTTTAGATAGATAAATATTACCTTTTCATAAGAACAAGAAAAAGATATGCTGTTGTGAGCATATGACCTTTCTTTAGTCTTTGTTCCATTTCTCAGTGAAGCAAACAAAACCATGTAAATCTCAAGTACTTATGGGAAGGAAGAAAAGGGACAGGCCATCACTTCTCTTTTTTTCCATCAAGGAGCAGCTCCCAGAGATGCTGAACAGAAAGAAACTCCCATTGTGCACAGGTCACACAGACATGTGAAAGAAGCAGCCTGTTGTTTCACAATTACTGTCATAAACGTGTGCATGTATTTGATAACCCACAGTGTGCTGCTGCAAAGTTGTTTGTCTCCCAGCAGCCTCCCAGGAAATGTGTGAGCCTGTTTGTGTCGCTTGTTCACAGAGCTGGAACTTGGAGCTGCTGCCTCACCAAGCAGAGGAACATGAGGGTGAGTTTAGATTTGTTTGGGAAGCTGGCTCCGATGTGGTTTCCTCCTGTTTGCCAGGTATCAGCTCTTGCTGACAGAATTCTGCAAGGGAATTTCCCCTAGGAAGAAAGGTTCTTATTGGACAAATGCTGCTCTGAAGTATGTATAAAGGAAAATAACACTGATAATGTCAGGCATGAAAAAATAACTGCAAGAGCTCCAGCAGGCCTCCCTAAATATTAGCACATGTTCTATGATACAGGGAATAAGAAAAATAAGTAGTGACTATAGAAAACGACATTTATATATGTTTTTGTTATCCACAAAGTCAGTATTGTATTTGAACAAAAGGATCTCTCATACAATGTCAATTTTATATTTGTACCTTTTGTAAGAGGGCATGAAATTTCATAGTTCTATAATTCAGAAATATGATAATTAGCTGCTTCAATATTTAAATAACGAAAAGCTGTTAATAACATGGTCAGCCATGTCCAAATACTATATGAAAAGTAGCAGAAAATATGCAGTGAACTGTGTAAGTACACAATTTGTTAAGTCTCTGTATTTTGCACTGATGAGAAATACAGTGCAAATATATATATATATATGTATGTATATATATACACATATATGTATGTTCGCAAATGAAATCAAACTTTCATACTGCTAATTGCAATATGGGATCCAATACAGCAATAAGCATCTACAGTAAACAGAAGCTAACGGTAGCTCAAGAGTAAGCTTTTCCCATATCTGAATCTCAGTTCTAAGTGGACATAATCCCATTTTTCCTTATTCTCTCCCCAAAGTTGTTTTTCTTCCATGTTGCAAACAGTTCCAGCAGCCAACCCAGCAGTCATTCTTAACTCATATAGTTTAGGTCTGAACAGGAGGGCCATATTCTATCACAGCTATTGAGCCATGAAGGAAAGGTACATCAGATCTCCTGCTTCAGATTTTGACTGATAGGGACAAGGAATAAAAAGCGAAATCTCTCTCTCATCTTCTATCTCTGCTCAATTCAAAACCTTTGGATCCCACCTATCTCCCTGAGCTCTCTCTTGCCTTTTCTCTGTGCTTCCTCTGAGGATCTGTTCCCTCTGCTGTCCTTAGTGATATGCTTGACTCCCTGGATTTAGGAAGGCCAGTAACCAGATTGTTGTTTTTTCTGTTAGCAGGGATGAAAAGAGAAAAAGGAAATATTAAATTTTTTTTTCCCTTTCACATATATCCTTAAAAGTCTATTTAAAATTTTGTTTGTAATATGGGAGTGCTGCATCTTTCTTCTCCTTTCCTCAAGTTGTCTCTCATTTCCTTGCTGACCTTTTAATGTAATGAGCCTGGAGATTTTTCTACTCATTTTCAGTGGGGAAGCTCCAGTACTCCTGGAAACAGAGATACCTGTGTTAATCAGTGAGTGACTGAGCAATTATCAGCACACCCAGATTACTGGACTGCTGTGGAGGATTTAGACCAACTTGTACCTTTATGAGCAAAAATACTGTTGCTTCAACTGAACAATCCAATGGAGAAAGAAGGAAGACTAGAGTGTACTTTCTATTTTATTAAAATTTCTCAGTTCAGGTCCTCAGGAAACATCTGGCCAGTATTTATTTGATGGTGTCTCTGTCCAGGATAATATTATGATTAGAATCAAAGGAAGCGGAAAAAGTCTTCTTATTGAAATAAAGTGAAGGACAGGTTTTTTTTCATTTCCCCAGCTTAAAGAACCTCTGGAAGAGTAACCCAAGATAGGACTTGGCAACTGCTTATTATGTTCTCTGCCAAATAATGTGTAGAGATCTACCAAATCTAGTTATTAAATGAGCTAAGCAGGAAGAGCCTGTTTGAAACTGCGTAGAAATACAAGCACTCTGCTCAGCAGAGGACCAAAGATGCAAGGATTATGAACAGCAGTCACTGAGGCCTTGTGTTAACTAAGATCACAGTCATGAGCAGGAGAGAAGCAGGAGAGGGGAAATGAGTGTTGTTGAGGCTTGTGTGCTGCTCTTGGCACTCCACCTACTCTTGTTATTGTTACTTTGCTTGGCTTTTAGCTGATAAATAAAATATGGAGTAGTGTCTAGAAACACAGCCAGAAGACAGTTCATCTAGTGCTGCTTAATTGCTGGGTGCCGCAGTTGCTGCATAAGAGCTATCTTTTTGGGATTCAAATGGGAACCAGTGGCATTTTATGGATTGGGACCAGCCATAATGGTTTACAGTAACAGACCATGAATACGGCGGTTGAGAGAAGTATAAAGGCTTTATTCCTAGGCAAATCCTGGGAATGGCATTTAGACAGACTGGCCAGAGACTCTGGTCTGTAGCTGAACTGAACTGGCACCAGTTGCTAGAGCAGATTGCATAAGTGCCCCAAAAGGGATGGCAGAGAATAGCTTTCCAACTCCCAAGAGCAGAGGGATCCTGTTCAGGAAAGTTGTCTCAGCTGTCAGGGCAGTTTTTCTTCTATGTCAGTGGTCTGAAAAATATCTCTATTTTCCCTTTGCAATCAAAAGCAAAAGCTGGCTTTTGAAAGACTATTTTAAAAGCAGCACAGCTAAAGGCTTGATCTTCCAAAATTTTAAAGGTGGCTCAGAAGAGCTAGTATTCTGCAAAGAGACACTGCAATTTTTGCATTGCATCTCCCTAAAAGGTGACTGCTGACTCAATATGAAGGACAATTCACTTGCTATGTTAGAGGTGGGAAAGGTGCAACTTAATTTAATTCTGTAGCTGTGTGGTTTCTTTTTTCCAGTATTGGGGAGGAAGTGCTGCTTCTTCCTACTGAAATCCTGCATAGATGTGATGGAGAGAAATCTTGCCAGGAGCAGTGTGGCTGGGGTTCCCTAGGCAGCTTCTCTGTCTTCCCAAGAGGATATTCATTTTGAAGCAGTATACTTGGGAAAAGGGGTGAGCCCTGACTGACTGAATTGTGCTGTGCCTTGAAGAAAACAGGGGAGAGCAGCAGCTTGCATTCTTCAGGGTTTCTGGGGCAGTAGACCAGGAGAGGTCTCCCGTATCTTTTTTCAGCCTGCTTTGGCTTTCCCTTCTTGCCTGGTAAAGGAGGGCTTCCATGTGCTCGGGGCTCCACTCCGAGCCCAGGGGCTGGGTTTGGGAATGGCTTTCGAATGTTAGCCAAAAATATTCGTCTGTGCATGTGTGTGTGGAGGCGTGGGGGAGGGAGCGCTGCTCCCTTGTGCAGTCACACAGAACAAGCCACAATCTGGCGTGCTTTTGGTTATTAATAGCTAGAATATGGAAGTAGGGCAAATATCCATCCTGATTTATCCTGACCTGAATAATCCGTATAGTCTCCAGGCCACAGACTAGCGATTCTGTCTCTAGCTGTCACATTCCTGAATTTTAGGAAGCGATATCTGTGACCATTTTGTGTCATGATGATCAATGTCACATTAAAGAGAGAAGCCTGCAGGCAGGCGTGTGAGCTGTGTGAGCGCTGCTTGATTAGGGAGGCGCTGGGGTGGGGATCCTGCTCGCTGTCACTCCTGCTCCCTGTCACTCTGCGCTGTCTGAGACCGTGAGGCAAAGGATCCCAAGGGAGAGGTCACCCTGCCCTGGGGCTGCTCTGTGGGGAGGGGGAGCGACAAAGATGCTCTGAGAGGCAGGTCACAGGCGGAGGAGAGGAGTCACAGAGCCATGAAACAGCACTGGAGGAGGCAGGAGATGTTAGATTCAGGAGTGGGAGTGGGGAGTGGAAGAGGCAGAGATGTGCAAAGCCTTGTATCCCTATGGTTAACCATTCCTAGGCATTATCAGGGTATTCAGTTACTACAAGATGGGCTTTTTCTCTCATTCTTGTTTCTTAAAATCATGAAGATATTGAATCCCATATTTTATTCTCCTCTCAGCTTGCAATATCTTCCCACCTATTTTTGAAACCACAGCAACTTTTTTGGCCTACTCTGTAGATTTCCCATTGTGGCCTACAAACATTTCAGCACGTGAAGAGAGACAAGCAAAGGGGCATTAGTTGTGACAAATCCAACAAAAAGATGCCTGGGACACAAATCAGAAGTCCTCATTTGGTCAGGTTTCCCACTGACTTCCCCATGAACTGACATGATTCTTGAGTGAAGCATGCAGGCTGGAAGAATAGGGTGCACATTTGCATCCTGTTATTGTTCTGAGCACTATTCTGGCAACAATTTTCTTTTTCTGGATGGGCACACAAAAAAGCAATAAATATTATTGCTGATTACCTTTTAGAAACTACAGGCATTGTTGGAACATAGGCTTATTTATTAAGGGTAGAACGAATATAAAGAGAAACAGGTTCTTGCCCAGAAGTATTTAAAGACTGATATTAAATCAAGACACGATGTAAGAAACAAGACTAGCATGAAACAAAGATGGTTGTGCTAACAGCGTGCTGTTATTTAAGCCAGCTAATGAACAAACTGATAGCCTGAAATCACCTAACATTTTGGGTGTGTTGTGGTATGTTTCTGTTCTGCATTAACACAGATAAGCTAATAAATACAAAACTGGTTTCTACCAAGCTAATTTCTGGGGGTGCAGTGTTCTACCCAGAGGAAATTAGTCCATTTGTAAGCACTGTGTTTCAGTGCTCGGAGCTCACATGCCAGAATGAAACCTCCCAGCCGTCCGTGCTGCAGCTCAGCAGCCATGGTTACACAAGGCACAGCTGATGAGGATGCACTAGAGCTCCCCCGGCTCTTCCCTGCGGATTTCACACTCTTCCGCCACCGAATGTGAGCCTCCATTGCCCTTCCCTCATGGGAAGCTCTCAGCCAGAGCGGCAGGCAGGGGATGCTGCCGCCTTCCCAGCGCCCAGCCTGTGTCTGGGAGCAAAGGGCGCTCCCGGCAGCGTTCCCTTTCCTCTCCCAGCCGGGGAAACCGCAGGGCCCCCGTCCTAAGACTGAGATTCCCACAGGAAGAGAAGATAGAGCAGGCCGGGATTTTCCTGTTTGTTTTCGAGAGGCAGGTGCTGGCTGTCCGGGTGTCTGTCTGTGTGTCCCATGGGAAGCGGAACCGGTGCTGGGGCTCTGCGGCTCGGGCTCGCGTTTGCGAGCCTGGATTGTCAGCGGCGAGCTATTCTTGTTGGATTTCCAAGTAAACATCAGACAGATCCTCACCCCTTTGAGCTGTCACAGTCTGCCAAGAAAACTGTCTGAACTTTGAAATTTCTCCTTTTATTTTCCGCCTTCCTGACCCTGCCTCCGCCGCCGACAGCAGGTCCCTCTTGTCAGGGGAATGTCCTCCAGGCACAACACAGGGAAATGGAGGAGGGGAAATTTCACCTCCAGAAATCCTGCTTGGCGAGACAAGGATGTCTGGGCCTGCGAGAGGCCCGGGCAGGCAGCTCGGAGCTCCCGGGCCCATGGATGGGCCTTTCCCAGGGGCTGCCGAGCCGCTTTCCGCGGGCAGCGGGGGCAGGGCAGCCGCGGAGCCCGGTGACAGCGGCTCGGGTGACAGGCGACAGCTCATTAAGCTGTCACGGCGCCATGGCAACAGCGGGCATGGCATCCCGTCTAAAGCAAACACACCGCCTTTGATCGGCTCGTCTGACTGCGCGGCGGGGCTCAGCTGAGCCGGGGCTCCTCGGGAACTGGGGACGGGGCCGCTTCAAGGATAAGCCCCGTCTCTCCCTCTGCAGGGATGCTTTCTTACCAGGCTGGTTCTGCCCTGCCCAGCTCCTATCCAGGGCTAATGTGGAGGGTCAGCTTGGCCACCCTCTGCGCTTGGCTTGGCTGCCTCCATTCCCTCAGTGAGGCTCTGCTCAGCGCCTGAATACACAGTGGAGGGCAGGGGTAGGGTTCGAAGGACTTCTGTTGCAAGATCCATACCTTCCTTGGGCTTCCATGGACCCTGTGGCTGACATAATAAAACTTGAAAAATGCTAAACTATCTTATCCTTCTGCTTCTGCTTGTTTTGCCTTTAGGATATAACATAAATTTCTTAAAGCTAACAGTGTGAATTCTGGAATAGAGAGCATTAGCCATACTCCAGAACAGAACACCTTTTTGCTTTGAAAAATGAGCAGCTGTGGAAATGGTGTTTGAAGACAGTTTTTTATTGTGCTTGAGGTGCTGCATGCAAAGTATTTATTAATTACAAAAGGTAATTTTACAGTTCTGATCCTTGGAAGTGGTGAGGACTTCCGGCCCTTAGGGATTTCTTTGGTGAACAAATGATCCAGCTCTGCTGAATCAATGGGGTTTCTTCCATTGACTTTGTACATTTTGGCTAATGTCCAATCTGACCTCCTTCAGCTTCTGTCTGTGTGTTTGAACAGTTAGATCATATTTGGCAGCTAGTAATAAAATTTTGAATCTTTTATACCAAAATGAATCTCAGTGTTCAGCAGGTTATCAAAACACAAGCTTGCCTTACTGCAAAGAAAGCATTGCTCTTTGCTTTTCAAAGCCCAGTCTAGTGTTTCTTCTCATGTTGGGGAACAGCCCTGTAAACGACACAAGGGAACAGAGGCATGGTTCATAGGCATCTTGACAGTGAGCAGGTCTGTAAATACAGATGTTTTAGGAAAGAATCCTTGTGATGGATCTGTTTCACATAGGCTTACCAAATGTTGCCGGAGGTTGCATCTTTTATATGCCATGCAGGTCAAATCCTTAATAAAAATCTCCTTTTTCTTGTAATTATTAGGACTTCCAACTTCTTCCCTAAACAAACACTTTCTTCCTGCAATTTGCTTTGTCCAGGTGTGTCAGCTCTCTGTGCCACAGGATTTTTCTACTCGTGCAGGAATTCCTACTGGTTCCAGCTTGAGTTCTGGCCGTGCCCATCTCCTGTCCTTGTCCTTTTCCTTAGAAGATGACCAAGAGCCAAAGTCAGCCTGTGATGGCAGGTCTGTACACAGTTGTTAGAGCTGCAGTTGCCAGCTTCAGTGGTGCTCACCAGAGCAGGGCCCAGCCAGCCTGAAGGGTGTGCTGAGCTGAGCACATCCCAGTTACCTGTCATAACATACAGCGTGTACCATGCTGACAGCCATTTGTTTTTAGCATAGGTAATCACTGGCATGTTCTTTTAAGTGAGATTCATAGATGCTGATTACATTTACTGCATAAATTACTTCATTATTAAAATCAGGTCATTTGAGCCCCAAAACCATTAACATGCAAACTATTACCATAATTTCATAAGCTAATAAATCAAGCACAGGAAAAGAATTAAGCGGTTCCTAGTGATAAGTGTTTCTTCAGAGATTAAGAAACACAATTTTCTTATGCATATATTAACATTTTAAAAGTAAATTCATGCAAAAGCAATTTTTCTGCATATATAAAACTTACATTTTATAATCTCTGTACTCAGCCTCCAGAGTTGTTTCAAAGTGAATGCTTTTTTCTTCTCAAATCACTGTACAGGAATTTGATGTCAAACCAGTCAGCCTGTTTCTGTATACCCTACCTGTAAAACTCTTTATGCCTTTATTAAATAGTCAAAGTTAAGAAATAAAACAAGCCAAGATGCAATTTAAAAGAAAAATAACTTGGGTTCATCTTACATAATGATCTTTTCATCAAAGGTAAATTTTGTATTCTTAATATTAAGCAGTACCAATGAAATTGCAATTATCTCCATAATTGCAATCGAGAACTGTGGTTGTAATCTTACTAAAATGGTACATTAAAATTGATTTAACTCTCATTTCTTACACAGTATGATATAATATTGGCCAGAATAATGCAAAGATAGACTCTTCTACTCACATTACTGACTAGCTTTAAAATAATACAGTAACACAACTGTTGCAGGAAAACAGAGAAAATTCCAATGTAAATGAAACTGTAATAAGCAACAGATGACAATGCCTAAGTATTTTACTATATTGCAAGATGTCCATGATTTATTTATGTTTAGCTGGTTTTGTTTTCCAGGTCCTAACCTGCTGTTTTTGTTTGTTTGGTTTATTTCTTTTTCAGTATGAGGCACCAAATGTATTTGCTCCAGGGAATAAGAAAATGTGTTTTCAGCATGGTGCTCACCATCCTGCTTATTTCGGGTCTCTTGGTTGCTGCGGCAATACCACAGCCTCCCACTTTTCTAGCCCACATGTGAAAAGACACTCAGAGAGCTTTTAGCAATGCCTTGTGCTTGCTGCTGTTCAATGGCTCTGTCGGCTAAGACAGCAGCACACTGAGAAGTGCCCCTCTGGGGAGGGTTGGCCTGGCCTGTCCCTGCCCTGCACCAGGTCACCCAGGGGCCAGATAAGGACCACGGCTGGTGGTGAGGAGGAGGTGACAACAACCGACATGTGGGGACACCCCTTGCCGTGGGAGCTGGCTGCTGCCTCAGATTTGCTGCCATTTGGAGCCTCAGCCCCAGGAGAGACAGAGCATTGGGCTGAGCTCACCCACAGGCAGCTGAGGTAGTGGCACAGTCAGCGTTCAGCCTGTGCAGGACAGGCGGCAAAGTAAGGGACCTGTTAGGGTCACTCTTGTGCGACCATCTACCACTCATGTGGTAGATGAGTTAGACATGTGGCTCAGAAAGCCGGGTATTTACTCCCTAATAACAAAACAGCCCCGTTGATTTGAAGCTTTCCATGTCTGTTGTCCTTACCCTTCTGGTTCTGTGTCCCACCCTCACCCCTTTGCCTCAGGAAGTACATGGATGCTGTAAATCTCTCAAATTATTAGCATTCTCCTTACCTTCCCTCTGCTGCAGGATTCAGTGCCTCATTCCTCAGTTATGGTCTCTTTTGCATTCTTCATTTCAAACCAGATATTGAACTACTGCTGCTCCTGGCAGGTCTTCAGTTTTTTTGGAGGCTGTGTGTGCCATTGTATATGCATAAATCATTTCTATCTGTTCAGGATTCTACTGGGCTCTGTTTCAGGTATGTCTTCAGAGGAGTTTATCAAAACTCCATTCCAGGTCATAAACTCATTTTTCAGTGTTTGTGTAATTAATTGCACAGCAGAGATGATATATCTAGCACAGGGCAGGTGACAACACCCATGTGAAATGAGAATTTTCTAATCAAAATGTGAGTAATCCCAGTAAAATGGTTATGAAGTATTTGGCAGTGTTGCTTTCCATATTGCTGAAGCTGAATATTAAAAAGGAGATTTGATATCTCGTCTGGACAAATTGGCATGATTTGGGCATTTTTACAACTCAACAGTCCCTCTGAAAGATAAATGGAGGTGACTGCAAATGCAAAACATGGTTTGATTGTTTTGTTCATATATGGCAGAATCCCATTGAAGTCAAAGGCAGATTACTCACCTGAATAAAATTTCTGGGTCAGGCTCCACATTTGCATGAATGAATATGTGTAAAAACAAGAATTTGAATTTCCAGGATTCTGTAATAATTATACTCAGGTAACACTGCTATCCTCCCCTTTAAAATGCTAACAAGTCTTTTTTCATGTGGAACATCCAATGTGAAGTACTTCACTTAGCCAGACAGTGTCCTAATTTTCAGCATTGTGTGAAGGACAAGATTCCTCCAGGCAATGTTTAGCGCACCTACCCAAACTTCTGCTCTCACTGCCTCTCAGGGGACTATGTTCCTCTCCACATGCTGGAGGGGAAACCTCAGAAGACACTTAGCTGCCCAGGTTCATTGAATGTTCTCCCAAGAGAACAACAGAGAAAATAATTTCAACCACAGCACTTATGTTTCACTGGTAGGTTTTTTCCACTGTTGTTCATACTGCCATCCTTTCTCTTTCACCCTATTTATCTTTTTCTCTCTAAACTTTTTCCTTCTGACAAAGAGCTGATTTCAGCTTGGATGCAATTTCCAGCATAAACTGTTTTTTGGTGCACCTGTTTATCAAGGCTTACTAAGCAATGGAAAGGATATTTAAAAATCAGTCTTTGAATGACAGCTTATTCATTACCTTATAAGCTTATTCATTCACTAATTTGACCACTTCTGGACTACTACTAGCACATCATGCGAACTTTCTGGGTCAAGAAGGAAGAAAATGGAGACAAGTGGGCTGTGTTTTCTGTGCCTGGCAATCACGGTGCACATCGGTGGCAGGAGGCTGAACAAAAGTTCAAATCCATCTCTAATGGATTCCTTCAATACAAAAAACTGCTTTCCATGTAATTGTGTGAGGGCTGCACTGTACACACAGAGGTCAGAGCCAGGAAGGTCAGGAAGAGTCAGGCTGAGGCGTTTGGTTTCACTGGACTGTTTTCTTACTGTGTGTCTGCAGAGGCTGCTGTGCTACTGTGTACCTGTGTAACCCATCCCAGGAAGCATGGACATTTCTCAAGCACCACTATCAGAAGGGAAGCAGGCTATCATCCTACTCCTTTCTCCCTGTCATGCCTGCAAGTGTACAGCAAGGAATATTCTCCAGTGTTTGGGGAAGAGTGCTATGCAGTCAACATTCCTGCTCTGGGCTGTGAGGGCTTTCCTCCTTCTTTCCCAGGAAGCCAAAATACTTATTGAAATCTTGACATTTCTCCCTGAAAATTGAGAAATTTTGAAATCTTCTCAAAAAGTTCTTGAGAAGTTTTTCTTCCAGGGAAATGGAACTGTCACAAATATCTTTCCCAGAACAAGAATGGCTGCTGTTTGGGGGCTTTTGTTTTAGTGGATCTTCTTTTGTTTGGGTCGGTGGGTTTTTTAAGATCTCTGCCTACAACATAGAATGAATGCTGCTTTATTTTCTTCCCACACACAGAAAATTCTGGTGGGGAGGTGTGCTGTGTAAAAACCAGAATACTGCTCCTGTAAGATGTTCAAAACCAGGCTCGTTCTTCACAACTAAAAATGTAATTTTCTGCTTTTTAAAATTGTAATTCTCCCAGTTATCCACCACATGCAGTGTTTTAGTAAGAAGTAAGTAATTTGGATGGTTGAGGTGGAAATGGGACCATCCATGAGAGGTTCCTACAGGAGAGGAGGCACCAAGTCTATTGGGACCTCAATAAAAACCTCTGTGGCCATTTCAGTAAGTTGCTTTCTTACCAAATCCACTTATTATTAAACTAGTTACCCAGCTCAGTCATCACTCAATTTTTGAATTGGCAAATATTTCTTGAAGAACAAAACAGATGTGTAGTACCTGCCACTTAAAATAGATAGATCCACAAACACCAAGATACAGGAAAGTGTTTTCTGAGCACCAAAGCTTTTGTGTCAGAAAAGAGTTCAAGAAAATTAGGATACAGATAGTACTCCTGCTTTCTTACAGAAACTGTGGAGTATGTGCAAATGTGTGCTGGAGGTCTCTGATGTGGTATAAATAGCCTTGGATGATCAAAATCTGATCCTCATGCATTGTGTTGACTCCATTTCTGTTTTTGGGAGTACATGAACTGCATGAAATGTTCAAGAATGAGAACCAGTTCACTCAAATTGTTGTCTCTTAATTACACATCAGCAGTCATGCAGTTTCTCCATTTTCACACAGAACCTTAAATAAAGTGGGTCAATAAACTTTACATTTTTATGAGTGTATCTCAATTTTTTGGTGGAGATTTTTTTGGTCTTTAATGTCAAGATACCTGAAAAATTAATAGACTAAGGACACAGTGAGATTTGTGAAGTTAATTTTATTCAAACAGAATTCAGAGGCTTACTTGACACCTTAAGAATTTCAGTAGAATTTTATGCAAAACAATGGGATTGAATATTCTTGAGATATCATAATAATCTGCTTGTGCTTTATTTACTGTTCTGTGAGCCACTGACTAGAAATGGTGAAAAAACTTTCTTGAATTTATTGCAGATGACCTTTTGTTCTGGTTCTTCCTCAAGAAAAATTGTAAGTTCTTAATCAAATTGAAAGATTTTAAGGTAAACTGCAAAGGACAAAGAAAACTGCTCCACCAAGGCCAGAAAGTGAGCCCACAGGAATTATCTGAATGGTTGTAATATATCTCCCATGAAAACTGGAGGTGTGGGTTATTCTTCATTTTTATGTGGTGCATGTTAGCTCACCTTTGTTTGTTAATCCATCATGGGCACTGTAGAGGACAATTATGTGTAATAGTATAGGTTTAGAATATTCTGGAATTATGATGTGCTTTCAAAAATGAGCCTCCAAAACTTACATTAAAATCTATGTATGGCCTGTATTTCAAATAAACAGAATCAAATAAACAGATCCTTCGCTCTAACACTCTACCAGTGTTTATAAATTGACTGATGCTTGCAATTAGCTCATTTGGTAGCACGCTGTCCCCTTGTTTCAGCCGGCTCTCTGACACTGGGGACCCATTTTTAAACCAGGACACTTCCTGCTCGCTTTCCCAATCCCCTTGGAATGTTCCAGGAGTGTCATTCAGAGTGCAAAGACAGTCAGCTCTTGACACTGTGGCTTGGCTGGGTGCTGGCTGACCCTGGTCACTGAAGTGTTTCAATGTGCTAAGGCATCAGGAATCTGGCCCAGCAGAGAGAGAACTTGTGGTTTTTTTGGTGGGCAACCATGCAGAAATTTCTCTCAGTGGTGAGTGTCAAAAGTGGTGCAAGGATAAAGGGGATCAGCTCCACCAGCAGGAGGAGGGAGCTGGCATGGCACCTGAGGGGGAAGCATGGAACTGCAGCCTGTACAGGTAGCTGCTGTGTGGTTTTCCCCACCCAGATGAGATATGCACTGCTGGTGATATGAACCTCATGCTGGCTGTTGGGAAACCTGTTTATCAGCATGGGGTATCAGCTTTAAAAGATTTAATGCCTAAATGAAGATGTAAGATGTCTGTGCATTATCCTAACAGAAAAAAAAATCTTGCACAGCAGGTAAATATTACTGCCACAGAGGACTTGCATTTTAGGAAACCTGAAGAGAGGACAGAGTGACAAGATTATTACAACTGACATGTGTGTGTAGTTTTACACTTTTGATTACACGGATTTAGCTGAAGTGAGCCAACACCAGCTAAATTTGTTTGCTGGTATGACATGTCCTTTCCTTCGCTTCAGGTCTTGTGTATGGAGATCAACAGCACTGAACATGGAACTTTTACTTCCAGGCAATGCTAAATAAAGTCAGCCAAGAAAGTTAAGGTGAATCAAGTGAATTTGGGATATGAATCCAACTTCCATAAATTAAAATGCACCTAAAGGATTCTGTGCGGTTTAGTTCCTTCAGGTGTAGTGCAGCTGTAGGCTTGGTCAAGGATCGAACTCACTTCTTGTCATTGTTTGCTCTTAAAATTAATGAACTTTAGAAAAACCCCAGGAGTAAGATAAAAAAAGTTGAAATGTGTGTAATTTCTAATTGAACACTGAAAGGAAGAGAAGAATGTCTTACCAAATTACTTACCTAGGTATAGTTTGAAAGAATACAATATTGCTTAGTCTCCTTCTCCTGTTCATGAAACCCCTAACAACAATGGCACTAGCCTAAAAGATATCTTGGAAGCTGTATTCAGTGTGAAAACCATAGATAAATTAGGGCAGATATTCCTGAAGTGATTCCAAAGTAAACATATATATTTACATATTTTATTAATGTTTTACTAATATTTATTAATGTGTTATCCTTGAGAAGAAATGGCTTAGGTATGATCTTATCCATGTATATAAATACAGGATGATGCAAAGAAGACACAACTATTCCCTTCTCACTGATATCCAGGGAAGGGTAGGAGGCAGTAGGCACAAATTGAGACGGAGAATTCCATTAAACAGAAGAAAATTTTGTCCTGTGAGAGTAATCAAACACTGAATGAGAGAGAAGTGAAGTCTGTGTTTTTGGAGATAGTTCAAAATGCAACTGGATATGGCCCTGAGCAACCTGATACCTTTTGGACCCTGCTGTGTGAGCAGTTGGACCTGAAGATCTCCAGACGTTCCTTCCCTCCTTGGCCTTCTGTGTTTCTGTGCAGATAAGATGCTGTTAGCAATCTTTTAGTGAAGAAATATGAGAAAAAATTCAGTCTCTAGAATTTCCTCTGACATCACCTTATTTACAGAATTCAATGTCTTAAGATGAGGTTTTAATTATTGTTCTTTCTGTAATGCAGGGAAAAATATGTTTCAAATATAAGTGGTCCTTTTAAGTATTAAAGTGAGAAATTAAAATATTATGCCAGCATTTTTTTTTTTTGGTAGAATTCATGTTCAGTTGTCAATGATATGGACACTGGTTTTATCTCAGCTCTACAAGAAATATTCCCTCAGATCTTCACTGATTTTTCATTTTGGATGATTTATGACATATGCCTTTTGACAATACACACGCTCATCTTCTTTTTCTTCTCCCTTGCTAGTTTTAGGATATTATAATATGATAGAAATGGAGTGGAACTATGAATGACTTAGGAAATTTCAGTAGTCTGAGCATTTTTGCCCAAGCTGGCTTTTTTGACATCTCTGTTCCCATGTTCTGACTTTGCTCCCTTGCTAAGCAATCCAGCTATTCAAACACCAGTTAGAAAAGCTGCATCCACTTAATGGAAGCATGCAAAGGTCTGTAACACTGCAAAGAAGTGGAACTTCCTCTAATTTAGTCTACTGTCTATATTTATCACTGTTCATTTGCCATGTGCCTTCCCTCCCACCCCAGCTGCCACCTCACAGATGGCATTCCCAGCAAAAGAAACAGTTCAGATTCAGCACACTGTCATCTGGAAATGTCAGCAGATGACAGGGTGAGGGGAGGAAGAGGAGGGCTAGCTCCACATTTTTTCAGGACAAAACTTGACCTCAAATTCTACTCAGTCACCACAGAGTTCTGGGGATTACCAGGGTGGGGGGGAAGGAGGGCACAAATGGAGCAAGAAAGAGTTGGATACAGTGCATATAATGATCTTCGTTTTGTTCTGAAGCTTGCTGGATAGAAATTGCCATACTGTGCAGTTATTTACTTCTAACTCTATAACAGCTTTAATTTATTAAAGGACTAAAAAAAAAAAAAAAGAGTTTTGTTTGCCCTAGAAACCAAGTGAAAACAATGAGGAAGAAGAAGGCATCCCTGCAAAGTTGACACTATTAAGCCCAGGCCCAAAGTGGAACGTTTACAGTTCCTATGAACAGATGTCTAATGACAAGCAAATAAAACAATAATTCTTAAGCAATGACTTGTTTCTGGTTTAGTTTTTCAGTGCCTTTTATTCCTTTTATTCAGCTCTTTCATGTTATCATTTCTATGCGCTTCTGGTGTTGTACACTGACTCGAGTGTTACTGACAAAAATATGGTGGGCCTGGAACTTGATACAAGGAAACAGACAGGGCAAGTTTTTAGATGTAAGGATAATGTAGCCACAGGTGTCCAATATTTGTCTTCAGAAATTTCAGATATCACTAACCATGCTAAGTTTTCATTCTGAAGGCTGGAGTCTGGAAAACTTGTGTGCCCCAGAGTAAAAAAGTTTCAGATACTGTTATTTTGTTGAACTAGGCTAAGAGAAAAGGTTGCAGGGTTTGGCATCTTCAAAACATTCTTGCAACTGTTTCTCTGGGGAGCTGTGGTACCTTCCTGTGTTACAACAAGGACTCAATATTCAGTACATTTTAACAGCAGGAGGGGTTTTGGCTGCCTTGTGATTAATTCATTCAAAATAGCTCTAAGAGTACAGGCTTCTGAGAAATACCCACTCACAAACACACAGAAGATGCTGCCCAGCTGCGGTGGGGCTGCTGAGGCACCTGGCCTGAGAGCAGAGGCAGATGTCCTTTTCAGTGACTCAAACTAGAGCACTCTAAGCAGGTATTGGCCCATCTGCTCCCATATCTCAGATGTCGTGGCTGATTATCTGAACACTCAAGCTCTGTTGTAGTGAAAATTCAGGGAAGCAGTGCCATTCACTGACAATGACATCTTAACAGCCCCCAGCTGCTCATTCCCAGCCTATGCCCTCCTTTAGCTCTTGTAAAATTGTTTATGGGGCCAAGAACCTGGCTCCTGCCCTGCCATACTTCCAAAAAAGATCGGATTATTTTTAGCCTGAACTGACTCTCACTCTGGTTCAGTGCAGGGATGGCTGTGGTTAGATTTGCTAGAGGACAGCTGTTTGTGCCCTGCCATCAGGGAGATGGTCTTTTCCAGGCCCTGCATTTTCCTCTTGCTTTTTAAGTGCAGATGTCACAGGGAGACCCAAGTGTGTTTGTGCACGTTCTGAGTCAGGAGAGCAAGGGGAGCAGCTGAGGGCTGGCACCCTGCCCTGCCCAGGGCAGGCAGCTGGCTGGTAATCCCCTGGACTGCCTCTGCAGGGCTTGGCAAAGCTGCTCTGGCACAGCACATCAGGCTCTCTGCTTGCTTTCCTACCACCCTAACAAGTAACCAAGCCTTAATAAGGCTTAAGTGTAAAACCAAAGTCTCTGCTGGTGCCATGAACACTTCATCATGCCCAAGAAATGCAACAAGATTTTCTATTTTGCATCACCAGCACAATTCTTCATTGAGCAGGAGGAAAATTTTCTCAAAGTGGTTTGGCAAAATCCCTGGAGCTGGAACCAGAAAACACAGGATTATGGGACTAGGTAATCAATCAGCTTTCTAATCACAATCCAGAATCTCCCATTGTCACTTGGACAAGTCACTTAGGTCTGTCACACAGGTCTGTGTTTGTAACCAGAGAGTAGCTGAACTTGAAATAAATAGATTTTTTGAAAGCAGTGTAAAGGTACTTCACAGTCTTTGTGCACTGTGAGGTATTTCTGTGTGGAAACAAGTTTGTAGTGCTGGGACCATTTTCCACATGTAGTCCATGGATTCAGGGGGTCTGAGACCTGTTTACAAGAGATCTGTGCAAATTTACCTATGAAGAGTCAGGGAGCTTTGATTTCCTACCTGAAACTGTGCCTTTGTGCTAGGAAAAAAAAAGAAAACGAGAAGTCCGCTGACAGCTATGACTGAAAGGCACTGATTTGGTGAAGTATTCATTTGTGGTATAAATGACTGCATGCTAATTTCCCAGGCAGGCTAGCATGTGTGAGTAAACTCACAATGGGTTTACTCATCTCCTGGGTTCTCAAGGTGGTTTCTCTGTGACCTGAATTCTTGGGATGCAAATAAAATTCTCAGTGAATTTAGGTAATGCAGGGTACAAACCTTGTGAGCAGGACAGCAATCTATAGATTAGGTGAATATATGGGGCTTGAATAGGCATATAAAGTAAAAAAAAAAAAGAAAAAGATGTAAAAAACAAACAAATAAACAACCCAGGAAACCAAGCTCCAATTCTTTCTCCTGACTAATTAAATTTTCCAAGCTCCCTTTTTAAACAGCATATGGGACACAGATTTCCTAGTCAGCTGGGGATCAGTTAGATATGTGTCTGCGTGTTAGTCAAGTTCCAGCTGATTAAGCCTTTGCGTATACCAGAAGTTTCCTGTGATATTTGTACAGACAGTCATGGACAGCAGAGTTAGCTTGGAGCTCTTTTGACAAAATGAGTTTCATCCAAAAAGGCGTCTATTTGTCTTAGCCAAAACTTTGTCAGAAATAGGTCAAATCAGATTTCAAGGCCATGAAAAAATTAGTTTTTATGAAACAAGATTTTGACACATCAAATTAAAGATTTTGGTTTTCTGTAAAATGGCTTTTAGTTATAAGGCATAAGTACTGTTGGAATGCTTCAAAGATCACCTAAATGAAATATTTCTATTGACATTTTTGACATTATTATGACTCTTAGTTAATAAAATTTGTCAAGTTTTTGATTATTTTGTCACAGTTTAAGAAAGACAGCTTTCCACAAGATTGGAAAGAGTCCCAATCCAGTCCTAGATCAGCCCATTATATGGTAGAGATAGGAATGCAAAACTCAGTGGAAAACAATGAAGGAGAACACATAAGTGTTCTCAGAAAAAAAAGGAATGAGGTATTCTTGTTCTGCTTGCCCTTCGCATCTGCTCCTCAGCTTTTAATCATTCATTAGCATCTTTAGTTCTGGTACAACTCTTATCAGGTATCTAATCCTACAAGTGAAGCATAATATTAATGAATAATGGGGATACATTATTTTAGCAACTGTTCCTGATTCTGTTTAATGACTGAATACAAAATGTTTTCTCTTCCTTCTAAGGTGGCTATTTAATTTAGATGTACTACAGATAACTGCTTACAGAAGTCATTCCTTAAAGCAACAGGAAACTTTTGCATGTTTACATATCTAAAACAATAATGAAATACCCTTTGTGTTTTTCTCAAGGTTATATAGAAAACAAACTAATATGTTAACTATGGATCATTAGAGAATTGCATTACAATAGAAAAATTCTCTCTCCATATATGTCCTGAAAAAAAGATTACTGGTTAACTTCAAGCTGTGGTGTTCACTAAATGACTGAAGCTCTGCTTCACTGGTTAAAAATGCAAAAAAAAAAAGAATTATTGCATTTTTGTTCAAAGCAAAGTGTTTTATATGAATTATGTATTATTTAAATTACTTGGTGCAGTTATTTGACCTGGAGATTGGAGTGAAAGAAAGTTTAGGTGGAACAACTAGGTGTGAGCTATGTAAGTCTCAGAGATTTCACTGTGAAGTACTGTAGAAGAAGCATTTACCATCAGGGATATTTTGGGGAAAAGGGAACAGAATATTTCAGTCAAGTCTTCTAATGAAAATGATCCATGAAAATGAAAGCTGAATGTCCCACAGCATCCTGGCTTCACTTCAGCACTGTATTATATAAATCCTAGAAAATCCCCTGAGAGCAAAGAGCTGCAGGAAAGGGGGACTGCAGGCTCTGTACCATTGCTTCTCTTTTCTCTTTCCATTTTGGTAGAGGTCGGTGCACGGGAAGCTCAGTAAATGGCCAACTGACAGTCGTGTGTGCAATAAGCTCACTGCAAACTGTGCTTTGTGAGCCTGCATTTCCAGTTTTGCTGTGTCAGCCAACATTATTTACAATGGAGTGTTCTGAGTGGGTTCTCAGCGGCTGTGACTTGTTACAGAACTGAAGAAGTGGGTGAATCCCGAGTAGCTCATATTATGTGAGGATTTCTTTTACAGAACAAATATGAAAGAACATTTTATATTTAATAATTTTCTAGCTCAGGATGAAAAAAATCTATCTAGCCTAGTATTCTGGCTCCAAAAGTGATGAAAAGTGGTCAAATACTGAGGGTGATTACTAAAGATCATTATAAAATGACAATCATGTAGTGACAGCTACCCACCTTATATTCTGAACTTCTAGCAATATAACTTCCAAAGTAACAGGTAGCATCTTTCTATTGAACAAGTGACAATGGATGAGCTTGTCCTGGAGATCTTTAACTCGCGTCAAGTTCTGTAAACCGCAGCTCTTTGTGGCAAGGAGGCTAATAAATAATTTTTTTCTCCAAGTTACTACCATGTTGTAGGAAGAAATACTTTTGGTTTCCTTTGTTTTCAAGCAGATAATGATTTGATGCATCCTTGTTCACTGCTTCCCATGCCACAAAAATCTTCCATTCCTTATTAGACCTTTCTTTGTTACTCATGATTTTAGAGAGTTCACTTCTTTGTCTTTTCTTTGCCATGCACACTGATCCTTGAAATTGTTACAACTTAGTTTTCAATTTCTTCTATTTTCTCTTTCTTACAAACAAACTGATATATAATTTTAAGTGATCTCTCCAATGTATGTTGTATAAAGGGCTTACAGCAAGGGAACCTCCTTGAGTTTAGAGCAAACAGGGATGCAAAGAATTCCTGCAGCTCACTGGTAGGACCTTCTCTTTCCTGTGTGCTCCTTTATATCTTAGCAATCTACTACAGCATTTTTGACAGGTGTTTTTCTTGCTACAGGAAAGTATTAACTAAAGGTTTTTCATATCTGTCAATGTATTTTGGGCATATGATCACTTCATGCTTTAGGTCTTATTTTCACCTTAAACTTTGTGAGGGATGTAATCTTTAGTAATAAACTACCTCTGTAACCACAGCAGCTTTTTCTGTGCTTACTCTGAGACCTCATGCTGCTGGGAGGTATCTTCCTCTTGGGCTTGTCACTTTTGATACATCTTTTGCAACCTTCCACTTTCTTTTTCTTAACCCCAGGTGCTACCATAGTAGATTTTTTGGGGGAGTTTTATTGCTCATGCATGCATAATAAGTCTAATTTCATTACAGTTATTGTTAACATGGTTCTTTGATACAGAAGGATTCAAATGACAGGTCAGATGGCTTTCAGGGTCAGCTTCATGTACTGTGTCTGTGGATTCCTTTTACCCCAATAACTTTTCCTTTTATTTAAAATGGTGTGACCATCTACCTTTTTCAAGTTGTTGTGAACAAAGTTTAAAAATAGAAGATGTTTCCTTTTCTCTCGGCGCACTACTTTTATTTACTGCCTTGATTGTATTATTTACAATACTTGTGCTAGTATGGCAAGAGGAAGGTGCTGAAGTTCTTCCACACAAGGAGCAGCTGGTGAGTGCCAGTAACTCAAGCTGTGGGGCTGAGCCTGGCGTGTTTCCTGGTGGTGTCCTGGTGGCTGCCCTGGTGTTGTGCTGCATGGGATGACGCTGCCCAGCCACCCATGGCAGGGTTTGGAGCAGGAGAGTAGGAACACTGCCCTTCCATAGAGGCCAGGGTTTATAGTTTCCCTCTGACCAAGGTCTCTGGGCCAAGTTCCACCCAGAACACCTTTGTGGAGCTGCAGTACACATTAATAATGACATAGAGGCATATGGGGAGCAGGCAGGCTGCTGCATGAGGCAGGCTAACTGCAAAAAGCCACATTCGGGGAAGTAATCTGAGAGAGTGCTACCAAAAAGTATTTGTCATTTTAAAATATGTTTCCCTAGTGCCTTTGCATTTGATTGGTGGATTTACCTTACCTGAAATGTACCCTGAAAGGCTCTGGCAGTTCAGCAAGCAAGAAAACTTCAAATAAGCACTCGTAGCTGTATCTGCAGTGATGAAAGATAACCTGAAGGAGAGGAAAAACTATTGAATGATTTTATGCTTCTGGAGGAAATTAAAACTTGAAAAAATACTTTCTTTTTTTTCCCCAAAAAAATCACAGACTGGAGATGCCAGGGGAAATGTACTTAAATGAAAACTTGCATCTCAGGTATAATTGCACTGTCATTAGTGTGGTTGTTGGGCTGGGCCCTGCTAACAAAATGCAGCATCTATTTTGGTATTAACTTTTACATCAAGGTGTTACAAAAGCTGTAGGTGGCCAGGACACAGGAACTATCCTCATTTTCTTTGGAATGTGGCCTTCACTGTCAAATACAAGGAGAAGGCTATAAAGGGGACAGTAAGGTTCGGGGGGGCTCAGTTCTGTTTCAGATTGAGCAAAGTTGCCCTGTCACAAGCACCATTAATCTGAGAGCATTTAAGATAGTAGTATAATTACAGTAATGCACAAATGAATTAAATTCTTGTTTAAAGAGACAATCTTGTCTTCCCCTCATGCTTCATTTTAGTGAAAGAGGCTTTATGTCTAGACAGGCAAAGACTTGAGACCTACTTTTATACCAATCATTTTGCTTGTGCTCATTGAGAACTTTAAGAAATCTTTGAAACCTTCGAGGGATCCAAGCAAATTTTTGCAGGATCATAAATTTTTTTTCTCCCCTTTTAAGTCTTTAGTGCTGAGCTGTCCTGAAACATGTGCAGAAATAATCCTCTGCCAAGGTGTGGGATCCAGTATGCCTGTAAACACCCTGGCTTCAGGTTACCTGTAAACGGAGAAAGACATTCTTAAATGTTCTTAAACATGATGAAAACACCCTTTATGTTCCAGCAGAAATTAAAACTTGCAATCAAGATGGATCTGGAGAGAAAGAATTCCCTATGTGCATGTTGGTTCAGATATTCTCAGTGTGGGAGGTGTCCCTGTCTAGGCCTAGAGCTTTAGGTGACCACTTTGTATCTCTCTGTTTCTGTCTGGCCATCCCTCCTCATTTGCTGGAGGCTGGATCTCAGTCACCAGGCTGATCCTTGTCCAGTCTGCTTCAAGAGATGAGGACCAAAGGCATGGGAGTGGGAGCCCAGGCTTTTGAGGTATTTTGTGCCTTTGGCTCCTGGTGACATTGGACTAAAATGCACCTTTAAATCTCTCTCAGTGCCTCCTTTAGGCCTTTGGAAGCAGCTCTCCAGCAGCACAGCCCAGAGCACCTGCAAGAGCCCATAGTAGTTTAAGCTGTATGTGGCAGTCTGAAGCAGCTTTATTGCAACATTGCGGTGATACCATCCCAACTGAGGCCTTTTTATAAAGGGCAGCATTGTTTGCCAGGCCGATGTTAACATGCATGATTTAAATGATGGCACAAGCAGAACCTCGGCTCCAAATGGAGATATTAAAGATACCAAAATATTATCTTTCCCCTTGCCAATAAGAACAGCTGGCAGGATGGGTTTACTGAACAAAACTTTGGCCAGCAGACAAAGGTTATCGTTTTCACAGACTTTCCTTCTGAAGTACAGGATTAACAAAACACGCTATTTTTTTTTTTTATTTCAAAATTGGAGGGTTTGTGTCTTTCATCTGGTCAAATTTAGCTTAAAAGTGGAAATAATATCAAAGTTACATGCACCACAGGGAGACTGTTAATGTGGTAACAAAGGGCATTTGGCCAGTTAAAATAATAAAAGACTATACAGCTTTCACAGTGATGGCTGGAGCCCAGTTAGTACTTTCCAAGTTGAGCCACAATATTCTTTTCCAAATTATGCGGTTTGGCACGATTCAGAGTGAGTAAACTTACTTTCCTACAAGGGAAAAATATAATTAAGAGAGAAAACAAGGTCATGCAGTATTATGCTTCAAGTAAGCAATAATACACCATGGGGTGTACATAAGTCAATATTCATACACCCTGGACAGGCTGAGACAGAGACAAAGCAATGGCTCAGCATACAAGAAGATACATGTATTATCTTAATAAACCTAAGTGCAAAAGTAAAATGCAAATGGATGTTTTATTTCCTTACTAGATCATTTTAAGTGTATATATGTTCAATGTTCATGCCTATAACACACATAAATGTTACTTAAAAATACCTTTTATGTTAACATTTTATACTTTTTAATAATAATGAACTTGCTGTTTTCATTTTGTCAGGGTACCTGTTTTATTGGGGATTTTTTTCTCCTATTAAAGCAAAAAATGGTTTGAAATTTATTTTTTTTTAATCATTAATAGATTAAGTTTGTTAAAAGGACTTTCAACCTGGATGGTCACACTGGAAGCGTCTCAGAGTCTATTCCTACTTTACAGTAATCCACCTTCTAGGATTCTGCAAGTACACAAAGCCTGCAAAGACTCAACAAAGTTGAGGATAAAGTCTCAGGTCTGGAAAAAAAGAAAGAGCAGCTTCAGGTTTGGAAGGGAACTTGTAAGAGCTTTGTGTTAGTGTTTTTTAAATGAACAAATTGTTTAGCTGAAGCTCAGATAGAGAGGGGAACATGCAAAAAGAAACCGTGGTGACCCTAGTGTATGTAATACTGTGGTACCAAAATGGGAACAGCCCCGTGAGACATCTGCTCGATTTTTGCTGCTTACACTGCTCATGGGAAAGGCCTGTGATATGCCAGGAGGAAAATGAGAAATAAGAAAAACTTCAAAAAACATGGAACCACTCCCATCACCTGAAGCTTAGACCACACACCTGAAAGGGAGTAACCCACATCCAGCTCGGGTGCACAGCCTGAGCAGCCTTATCTCCCTTTCAACTCAACCATTTTGCACATCTCATATATAATAAGTGCTTGTAAGGGAGGAATTGATTATTTATTTTCTGCTTCTTTAATAATTACAGTAACTTGTAATTATTAAAGAAACAGGAAATAAATAATCAATTTATTTAAAGAAATTGGAAATAATCTGATATTATAAACCTTCATGAATTGCAGCATCTCACCATTGCTGCTATTTGGCTCCCAGTCGGTACAGTTTCTTCCACTTCCTGGCTCCACTGGGGAATACCTGCTCCACTAAGGTTCCAAAGAACCTCCTAAACCAGCCCTGTGTGTGAAGAAGCAGGAAATGTGTGGGCAGTGATATTCGGAGCACATTTGTGACTCAAATACATCACTTCAATAGTCACACAGGCTGTGCACAATACTCATACTGCCTTCTCTGAAAGCACAAGTCAACAACTACTTGCATACAACACTCTAGTCATTTACATAAAATGTGCCCTGACACACCTGAATTTAAGGTGTCACTAGAAAGACAGACAAATCCTTATCAGCTATAGAGTTTCTCTCAGTATTAAACTACTCTGAAGCAGGACCAAGGTGCCAAAGGCCTCATGTTGTAGACCTGTATCATTGCAGACTATAACATTTTAAGCCACTGCCATCCCAGACTGAAGGGGAAGCTGGAGTCAGTGCTGGAGCAAGGCACAGGGGCCTGTCCCATCAGCCTGCAGGCACAGCAGCATCCATGCTGATGCACAGCTCCTAATTCCCAGAGTGGACTTTTGTCCCACTTTTTATCTTGAATTAACATGGCACTTCTTGCAATGTGAAATTGAAACCTAACATATCCTTCTGGTTTGCCTCCACGTTAACCCTCTTAAAACAGATTTATGTCACCAAAGTTAACTTACCATCTCCACACTAAGTAATCTTCTTTCAGGAAAAAACAAATCTATTTCACCCTGGATCAGAGCTCCAAGAAATCTAGTGGCAAGGAAGCCAACACAAGTAATAAAGAGAAAACAACTGAGGGGAAAAAAAAATCTCTGTTTTACACAAAAAATATTTTCTGGATGCTTCTCTGTATAGGTGCCAAACACTATTAACTTACTGATGAGGCCAGCTCCTCAGAGAAGCATAAATTTTCTCATCTTGGGAAGTTATTATTGATTTTCATTTCAAAATAGCACCAGAAGGTACTGCACAGGAGGAGAAACTGCTATTTTATATTGACTGTTTCACATGTAAGTGAACATTGAAGGATGATTCTCTGCTCTTCTTTGCCCCCACAAGCTATCTTAAATCACTTTGAAAATATTATTCTATATAGAATCTGTATTAATAACAAAATTATACCATGCAAAAGAACATCTTGTCAAACAAGTATGCCATGATTACCTGCAAAACCCACTGTACTTGGATACAGAAACTGTGTTTTGTTTTTCTTGTACGTTCTTGCAATGACCCCCATGGCCCTGTGTATCCTCCAGCAGTGCATGGAGCAATGTGACAGGTATCTGTCATGCATAGTTTAATTCTTTTTTAATTAGCCCAAACCCTCAATGAGATTGAAATCAGTAGGGTAGTGTTACCCTCTGCTACATGTTTTACTTTGTGGTGTTTCACTTTGTCAGGCACTTTGCAAATCCCATTCCTTTATCAACACAAAAAGTCTATAATTGTCTAAAGAGAAAAGACTAATAACAAACCTTTGTCCCAGTTTGACAAATACTTTACTAATTACAACTAGCAAAAAAAGAAAGGGGTGTATTAAGGGAAAGAAGTGTTTTAAAATTAATCTTGTCAAGTTAATATGATCACTTGGTTGCACCCTGCTGCAGTGAAAGCCTGCAAGTTTCTGATGTCTCAAATATTTATAAAATGCAGTGAATTATGGGTAAGGAAAATAAAATCAGAAATATCAATTAATTTACTTTTTGAAGCCACTATTTGCATATCATAGAATCCTAGAATGGTTTTGATTGTAAGGAACCTTAAGGATCATCTAGTTTTAAACCCTCTGCCAAGGGCAGAGATACCTTTCACTGGACCAGTTTGTTCAAAGCCTCCTCCAGCCTAGACTTGAACACTTTCAGGGGAGGGGCATCCACAGTTTCTCTGGGCAACCTGTTCCAGTGCCTCCCCACCCTCACAGTTGAGAAGTTTTTCCTGATACCTAATCTAGACCTTCTCTCTTTCAGTTTGAAGCCATTCCCCCTTGTCCTTTCACTACATACCCATGGCAAATGTTCCTCTCCACCTTTTTTGCAGGCTCTCTCCAGGTACTGGAAGGCCACAATTGGGTTACCCCAAAGCCTTCTCTCCTCCAGGCTGAGCAATCCCAATTCTCTCAGCCATTCCTCACTGGGGACATGCTCCAGCTCCTGATCATCATGTTGGCCCATGTCTGGAATCATTCCAGCAGGCTGATGCCCTTCCAGTGCTGATGTCCTTCCTGTCCTTTCTCTGCATCCCAGTGCACTCCAGGCACTCCCCTGCTTTGTACAGCAGTGATTATTGCACAGCTATCATCTACACAGGGGTGTCTGTTTATTTCTTATATATTATTTTATATATTGTTTATTTATTGTACACATAGTTATTTATATTCACATTTATCCATATATAATTATTTATTATATCTATTATACTATATAATTACATAATAATACTATATTATACATAATAATTATGTAATTATATGAATAAATAAATAAAAATATAAATACATAATTATTACATAATATTAATGTATTTTTTTTCAATAAATTTTATTAACAAAATAAAATGTATTAAACATTACTTATAATGCATCAAAAAGTTAATGTGTTCGCTTTACCACTTCAACATCAAAGAGGGTATTATGTAGCAATAGTCAAGAAGGGCACACTAAGTAAAACTACCTTTTAATAACTTAATAATATAATCCTGAGCAGATAGAGATTCCCTTCCCATCAAATTTAAAACTGACAAAAAAAGATTTTTCAAGAATTCTCTAAAGCTGCACACCCTAGCAAATAACTCTTTAAATAAATTTCCTCATCCAGCACTCTTATGCAAAATTTTTTAAGAAAAGCTATCACATGACTTTAAAATAATCTTTCTCTCCCTAAAAAATCCTTCAGGAATCTAGATTATCTTTCTAGTGAAGGGTGAAGCTGCTAAGTGTTGGAATTTACTACCCTTCTGCTATCTGTAATTGCACAGCTAAAGGTATTTTATAGATTTATGACTTCCACATCAAAATGAGGAAATATCTATCATTTTCTTAAGGATTAAAAGTTTCTTAATTCCTAGCTATTTGAACTTGCAGTTCAAAATCATCAAGGTGCTTGTGAAAGTGTCCATGTCTGTTAAAACTTAGGAGTTATAGAGTCTTCATTTCAGAATGTACAGTCCTTAAATGGACCCTTTAGAAGCAGGCAGTATCAAAGCTTTTTTTACCCTGGAACTAATTGATATAATAATCCTAATTATTTTGAAATGCAGCATTTAAGCAGCTGTGAGAATACAAGGCCACAAAAGAATGTCCTAATGTATTGTATGCAGTGTATCCCACTCAAACATTTCTGTTCTATCATATTTCACTGAAGCATTTGTGAAAAGTCCCTATTCCTTAATACACCACGCCTGGTGCTGTCAGCATGCTGAGTGCCTCTCTTTGGTCTCACAACATTATTTCTCTTTATTTTTTTATTATCTTTGGCATCAGCTTATCCCAAACATGTGTTACCCTTGGAAAAAGCACATTAAAAATACACGCTGCTAAACTCACTCTTGAAACGCACGGTGTTGGCAGGGGAGACATGCACTCAAGGATTAATTAAAAAATGTGCTGTAAACCAGGAGCATATCAGTTGTAAATAACACAGGAGATAGATCTATGTATGCATATTAGCTGACTGCAGCCTTGCTACTTTGCCAGTGGGATACAACCATGGAAAAGCAGATGCCACCCAAGTGTGAACCAGATAAACTATTTCTTATTAGACTAAAGTTAAAATGTATGCCATTGCTTAAAGCACCTGAGAGATCTCGCACAGATCTTTTCCATCACGTCTGTGGAAGGAGAAACAGGTGAAAAACTGGATAAATTTCCAGAGGGAAGTGCTTTTAAGAGCAAGGCTCAAAAATTTTTGCTTGTTTAGTCTAGTAGAAATAAAAACTGATACAGGAAATAATTATTCTCTAGAAACACAATAGGGTGGTAAACAGTGGGCAAGGAAAAAAACTATTTACCCTAGCAGACAATGTTGGCACAAGAACAAATGGGTGTAATTTGGCCATGAATATATTTAGGCTGGAAGCTAGAAAGATTCTGGCTATAAAAGTGGTGAGGTTCTAGAGTAGTTTTTCAGTACAAGTTGTGGGGACAAAAAAATAACAGCTCAAGCTACTTAATAATAAGGATTATTGAGTTCATCAAAAATGCCACAAGCACAGTTCTCTTGGTAAGCAAAAGTCTGCATTTTGATCATCCAAGAGATTGTTTCCATCATTGTTTGCCTATCCCCTGAAGGTGTAAGGTAGAATAAAAAACCAAAATATTGATATTAAACTTGATTTATGTGTACAGTGTTAAAAATAGTCCTTAAGTAAGTGCCATTCATATGTAAATGGCCTCTGTAATTATATTTGTGCTTTGCAACAGGAAAACAATTTAACGTGATAAATAGGCATTGCACTGTATTTAATGGTTGGAAGCTAATTCTTTTTAATGTGAAGATGCAATTTGTCACATTCTAATTTTCCTGGGGTTTATAGTGTATCTTTCTTCTACTTTTATTTTGCCTTGTTTTCTTTAAAGGTGTAGACAACAGTATTATCACTGTGTGGACAACAGAGAGACACAGATGGAAAATAACATCTGCCTATTTATTTATACCAGTTGAGCCACATTTGGCCCCTGAGTTCCTCAGATGAGCATCTGCTGTTAGTCAAAATCAGTACTAAGGAAAAAAGCCCCTGATGCTCACCACGGAAAGATGGAATCTGAATATCAGGAGGAAAGAAGCAAGCAAAAACCAAACATATTTGAGTTAGAAGAATAACTTAAAGTTCAGAAAGGATGTCCAAAGAAAACAAGGGATATGTTGTGAAGCTAACTTCCACTAACACAGAGAGAATTTGCTGAGATTGCAGTCAGGGGTTTAGTCTAGAGACCCAACAAGAAAGCACTTAGGGTTTTCTTGTGCAGCTTCTGATGCCTGTTATAGTCTCACTATTAATAGCTAATAAATATATCTCACCCAACACTGTAGTGGCTCTTGAGATTCAGATCTGTGGTATACCACTATACCATCTGAAGACCTACAGTTCTTTAAAAACTAGTCTGTGTTCTCTCATCAGCAAAGCCAAGCAGCAGAAAGAAAACCAAAACATTGCAAAGGCAAAATAGTGATATTTCTCTATCAGTGTGAAACTATAAATAAGTGACGGAACCCTATTGAAAATAAAGTTAAATGACTGCATATACATAAAGCTTTGATAAAAAGTCTTATTTGCATGTGCATGTGTGCCCATATGCATGTAATTATAAATGTATTTTTGTCATAAATTATTTATGATTTGTCTTCTCTGTAAACCCCTTTGCAAATGATCTACTATGGAAGAAACTGTGTAATCAACTGCATAGCTGTTATCTTATTGTAAAAATGTCAAAACATAACTCAATATTCAGTTCCATTTAATTCAATTCACTTTCTTATGAAAATGTTTTTTCTCTCTTTTTTTAACCTCTTCTTACCTGTATTTGCTAGCTACTGTGTTCAGCAGCTTTTGCCATTCACATCTATCAGAAGCTATGGGCCTGAAGGCCTCAGTAAACTTTTGGGAGGACACCATGCCTTGTCTGTGAAACACAGGAATGTGTTTCCCCTCTGTGAAGTCTGGTCTGCCCATCCCAATAGCAGCCGGCCACCAGGTGGGATTTGGTAAAGTTTTACTGTGGCTTGTAAATGAATAGCCTCTGATTTAGCTTTTGAAAGTGAAACTGCAGTTTCCGAGGAGGAGAAACAAAGAGAAGCCACCGTAAGTGCCGGGTTATTGTGTGTTTCTGAAGGCTGTACACAATGGAAATGCAACTACAATATTGGATGAAATTTAACACTTTTGGTGGGATCAGTGCTCAGAAGAGGTCAGAGACATGAAAGCAAAGGGGTCTCTCTGCACTAAATTTTACACCTTAGCTAGTGGTGAAGAGGTTGTGAGCAAGCCCCAAATCATTGGTAAGAATCCAAAAGATGTTTTGGCTTATACTCAGCAGCACATCCTGCCAAAGCTGATTCTTAAAATGCAATGAAGAGGACCAGATTTTAGTCCTGCCCCTTCTAGCTTCTGACTCATGTCTCAATCCTGCACCCCACACCCCACTGCTAGCAGTCTCTGTTTATTAGTTACATTCAACCTGAATTTATGACCTCCAGGTTTTACTTAAGACTCATGTCTCTGCTGTGGTGCAATGCAACAGACAAGACCCAAAATTCTGTTCTGAGTAGTTTTCCAGCTCTGAAAGGATTCATTATTTAACTAGCAAACTGAGCTTCAAAGAATGAAATTAGTAGAAAGGCTCTAGTGGTCATCAGCATTGGACATATGGAGAAATAGAGGCAGTAATCCATGGATTCTGATTTATCTTTGTTCTGGACTAGTTTGAATTTCTGTCTGGCATTTGGATGTGCTGACTTTTGAAGTAAGCTTTCTCAACAGACTATGCTCTAATGCAGCATGAAAATTTAATATTTGGGATGATATTAAACACACTTTCATTACCCTTGGTGGTGTCAGAAAACTGAATAAACTGAATAAATCAGAAATAATATCAGAAAACTGAATAAACCAGTTTTGGAGTAAGGAAAAATATTTAAAAATAAAGTACTTTGCAAATGGCGATAAATCTTAAAAGAGGTGGGGGGGAAGAGTAAATATACTTTTAAGAAACTTGGTGACAGGCACTTCTAAAATATTTATCCGTCATCAATGAAAATTGCATTCCTGATTGTGCAAAAGCTTCCTTGTCCCTTTGTATAACTTCACCTCACTCATTTAAATCATTTTCTCATGTAGATACAGCAAGATTGACTAAACTCACAGCCCTGATGCAGGTTAATGACCACTTTTTTTCAAACTGAGTACCCAGCCAAACTTTATAGTTGCAGTAATTTAAAAACCAAATGCACACAATGGAAATATTCCCAAATACTTTTGGTGTAAATTGCTTATCTGTCTAAACCAAGAAGTTTTCCAACTTCTGATATTCCAGGACATGTTAGTTTATTTTCTAGATTTTCTTATTTCAAATCTGTCTCTTAAAATTCATTGTTCTATCTGTGGGTAGGGAAAATCAGCAACTTACTGTGAATTGTTTAAATGAAAATACAGAAACTTCCATGTTACCGTGGTAGGTTGTTACATGAGCATGAAAATATCTGGTTTTTACATCGTATTTAACTGAGCACTGATAAATATACAGAATATTGGCTACCTCATGTCTAGAAGTCTTTGTCCAGGCCTGATAAGTTCTTAAAACTCTGAATAAGACACAGGAAATGTACAAAACTGGTGCTGACAGAAGAAAAGATTTTCAAGACTTCCATGCATATTAAACCATTTTTTGCTACATGTAAGTTTATGAATGCTGTAAGAATGACTGGTTAAGGGTATTATTATTGTTATTTCTAACATCTAATCAGGTCTGAAAGCAGTTATTCTTTGGAGGGAGTGGGAGTCACACTTTCTTTTAAATGCAATCATCAATTCATCACTGTGGGTGCATTTCATTTTTGATGAAAAAAGGTAAGAGCTTTGCAATAAGGCTGTTCTAAACCTGGGTTACTCTTGTAATATGAATCTTTCAGCTATAACTTATAGCTTTGTTATATGTTTTCTAAAAATTTTCTTCTTTATCTGAAAATGGTATATTTTCTTCTCAAATATTTAGTGATTATTCTTCCTTCATATAAAAATCGACTCCAAAGTATGGACCTTTTGTTTCCCTTCATACAATGCCTTGCACAATAAGACTGGTTTCTCTTGACAGGTATTGTGATTACATATATAGTAATGCAAATATTTTCCACTGTGCTCTTATGAATGCACAGAAATTGTGGAAGAAAGTAGACTACTTACCCACAAATAATATAAAATATCTGGCTAGAAATACGTACCTGCCTAGAGTCCCTAGGCTACTGCTGTACTGGAAGATGAAAGGACCTCTCCAAATTTGAAACAAAAAGGAGATTGGGATTCCTTCAGTACTACATTAAGACAGCATTTTAATGCTTTATGAATAAACAAAAAATATGGTTAGGCATTCAGTAATTTTCACACATTTATGATACTCCTTGACAACTATATTTTATTTTTAGTCCCTAACATTACCAAAGTACCACTGAAACTTCAAAATCTTTGGAGTAGCCAATTTTATAACTTTTGTGTATTTGCTAGTGATCAAAATTCCCCCAAGTTGTGCTTGTATGTACATATGTATACATATATGTATTTATCTCAAACACAAACTTAGGATGTTCTCATTGTTCTTAAGGAGCATGAACTCTGTGCTCAAGACAAACTCTTAATGAGCAGCAATTCCGCCTTTTTGTCCTCATTTCCTGAAGAGCCTGCTCCTAATTTACCACACACAGCACTAATGATGGGAGCACTGCTTTCCACCAGGATTTCCCCCAACTGTTACTGATTCATTATGTGACTCACATTTGTTAAAGAAATTATTTTCATGAAGTGCCCTGTAAGGTGAAAGAATTGTGTTTAGCAGTACTTATTTACAAAAGTAAAATAAAGACTCAAAGATTATGGCTACAAGTATTGTCTAAATTGAGGCAAACAGTCAGAAACACCAGAAAATTACTTTCTTTTTTTGTTTTTTTTTCCCCCCATCCTGCACATACTCCAGATTCTGCTCTGAAAGCTCAGGAAGTCACACACACTCTGAGGCATTCAGAAGATGAGACCACATGTCCTTAATTTTTTTTAAGTAATTACCTTGCATTAAGTTCTGTGGCAGAGGAAGGGATGCACTCCAACTTCTAAATATAAAAGAACAAACACAGAATACAAAAAATACAAACTGCAAGCAATTCATGACCACATCAATCCCATCAGCTTGCAAAGACAGGCTGCACCTCATGAAAAGCTGGTAAGTTTAGTACAAGCTTTGAGGAAAAACCTTACCTTTTGACAAAAGGAGTTGTAACAACTCATGCTTACTTGCATGCATAACAAAGGGCATGCTATGTCACTCAAAGGAAAAGCAAAAATGCCATTGCCAAAAAGGCCAGTTTAAGTGGGATGTAGCTGCTTAAGCCAAATATGAAATATACATTCACTTTACAGATATTATGGGTGTAGGTGCATAGGCAGCTGCATTTGCATGCAAGTTAAATGTAATGCTCACTATGTTTGAGTAAACATCCGTGTAGTCTCTTGGGTTATGGACCCTTTTTCCACAATCTCGATTGACAATTTAAATTTTCTCCATGACTTGGAGCGTCACACATGATAGTCGTGCTAGGTATAAATTTGACAAGTTTGCAGAAGAGCTGCCTTTGAAAACATAGAAATTAAAGATGTTCCTATTCCTCTTTAATTACTTAACAATGGTGTTTTCCCCCTTTTGCTTTGGAGGAGAGTCAGAAGTGTGCCATGTCCATGCCCCTCTGCACACCTGCCTCTCCCCTGGGCCCCCAACCAGAACATTGCCTTTAGGAGCACAAGATGAGGAATCTCATCTTTTCTCATCCTCAGTGAAACTTCTTACCTGCAGGTTAGAGGGGTAGCCAGTTCTTGGGACTGCTGTGCCACTGGAGGTGGGTTTTGAATGAACACAGGCAGAAGAAACAGAAACAGGTGAGTCCAACATATGGCTTTTCTATTGAGCATTTCAGAGTGTAACTGTGTATAATTTAGCTGTACATTTATTTCTGCACTATCTCTGTGAAGCATTGAGTATAAGTGAACACTACAGTGGCAACACCATAATCTATCAATTTATATTTTTTCCATTTCAACAACATTTCCCAGTTTAGCACACAACTGCTAATTTGTTGTGCGTGCTTCATTATGCATGACCATCTACAAATGAAATATAGCATTGCAAATATTATTTTGAACAGAGTTCCTTGGTAAACTTTGAGGCAAGGCCTGTGGCAGAAATAATGTCAAATGTAGTTAGAAAAGAAAAAAATCCCTTATTGTTTTGAGCAAAACTTTGGCCATGTTTTGAATTCCCGCTCATTTTTAACTATGGGGTTTTTTAAGAACAAGTTCTAACACAGTAAGAAGTTTAACCTGACCTGGAAAACCCCCAGCAAGAATCTCTGTTGGCATGAGACCTGGGAAACCCATTGCCTCTTCTGCAATTCCCATTTAGGTTTTCATTTCCCTCTTTAGGTTGGTCAGAAATAATTTGATTTTCAGAACTTCTGGTTATGTTACCCAGCTAAAAGCACAGGGCAGGTGTACATTTGTAGTCCATAAAGAAACTGAACTGATGCTGTGAAATGCAGTGCAAATACTTTTAAAGCCAAAAAAAGGGGTTTGATCTTATCTGTATAGCATAAAATGACATGGCAAAATTATTTACCTTTATCACATCCTGGAGTTATGACATCAAAGAGGAAGGAAGCTGCTCAGGTATTTTAATTGTGTCAGTGAACCACTTGGATTTTCTTCTGTTTAACTCTGAATTTCCTGTGTCAAAAATTATTGGTTTGGAAATACTGCTGTTTTCATTTCAAGTTACATTGGACTTAACTTTCTCCCTAATGTTTTTCTTTGGGGATGATGGTGTGAAATTCACAGCAGCCAGAATGCAGGGGAATCTAGCAATTCTTCATACATAATCATTAATAATATATTTCTCTACATTCTTAAGGGATCATATTTCCATAGGCAGTTGCAATTAATTCAAAGCAACAGTAAAGAGAAAAAAACCCGCAATGAAACCCACAACAGACACCCTATCCTCAGGGCTCTTGTCCAAATAGATACAACCACTACAGATCAGAACTTGTGTGTTTTATAGCAGATGATAATGCAGAATTGACAAACAAGTGAGCACAAATATTATCAACTATGGGTGAGAAGGTCCCTTTGGTTGTCAAATAAACCTGTCCTGAGATGTTGATTTCGGTGTATGTTTTGCTCAGGGCTTGTGTCCTGGTGGACAGAAAGGATCTTCTGTTCAGTGTTGTATCAACTATACATGACTGTGATAATCAAGGAGGAAAACACCCAACAAAATAGCAGCAACTTTCACAAAAAGAATGAAACGGAAGGAAATTATTGGATCTATCTTTTATGTTGATGGCACAGGGAGACTTGTTAGTAAATTCTGAGGTAATAGAATGGGCCCCAATATGTTTTTCATGTGTGTGGTTGCATCATGGTTGCTGCCTAGCTGCAGATAGGGGTCCACCAAATGCATGGGAGTAATTTTACTGAGGTGGATATCTGCGTTTAGTTGGAAACTCATGAAAAGAAGGGGTTTGTCCATCATTTGCCATTGCAGATTGATTTATAGACAAGTATAAAACAGTGAAAAGCAGGTATAAAACCAGACTAATGCATCTTTTGATATGATGAGTAGTAACTGTTGAATTCCTGTTGCTGAAATTAGTGGCCTTATGTTAGAAGGTTCATGTTGTTGTCTGCCATTTATTTTGACACATATAATTATAAATACGAAACACTTCAGCTATAGCTATCTGATAGAAAATACAGAAAATCATGGATGATCTAACTTGACTACATTTTAATACTTTCTATTAAGTAATATTGCTAATATTCTCTTCACAATCCTGCAACTGGAAAAGTTTAAAGGCTTTTTTTCCCCTTTTGCATGTGCAGTATATCCTGCTGACAGACTGCAATCCTGCTACCTTTGAAACACACATCATGCCAAATGGCAGAGTTCACTTCCCAAGGTTTCCAAGCTTTTCCAGAGTACTTTTAGCAGTCTCACAGATACTCTCACCTCCTGAGTGTGCTGTCCTAACAGTGTCTGGCAAATCCTGCAGGAGCTCACACTGGCAAACAGCACTAGGCCGGACCAGCATAGCGTGTTTTGGAACGTGAGGCCAGTATGGAGCAGTGGGAGAAAGCCAGTGGCATGCTTAAAGCTCAATAACAGAAACACAAAGTTAGAGGACTCCAGCACAGTTCCACAGAAGGATTAGTTTCGGGCCCTTATGTGAGGCCACCAGTAGTTTGTGAGCGTTCCCTTAGCTCTGCTCTGCCCTTGTTAGTGAGGACACCTTGCTCCCCATGGCCAGCTGATCTCTACAGGCTGTTGCAGCAGATAAGACTGATAAAAAATTAGGGTTGTAAATACTCCATGAAATCCAGTTGGTTAACCATGGTTTCAATGCAGTATATGATACTGGAGGAGTGTGGCAGTGTTAATAATACCGTAAGTGCTGCCAGGTACTTGTATGGTATTTTGCAAAACATTCACATATATGTTTGCATGGTCCTTGCAGTATAGTACTTATGTCAGTATATGTTATATTTCTGTACATAAAAACATAAAATGTCCTTCATAAAATAGTTAAATCGCAATGACTAGTTCTCTTCAGCAAAGTTCAGTCTAAATGTCTTGATTTTATTACCACAGTAACTTAAAGCAGGTGTTACACTTTTACCAAAGTTTCAGAATTTGCTCTCAGTTTTTTCTTTGTTAAGTTTCAAATACTATGTGAAAACGAAGAATATAAATATAAGTATAGCACTGAATGGATGAATTATCTCCATATAGTGTAGTACCTTCAGAGTGTGTTGTCTAAGAACAGCATGTTGCTAAATCACATTACTGAATCATTTAAAATTTGAGACTTTTGTATAATCATATTTTGTGCCCTTTCAAGTTCCTTTGTTATAACAGCTCAAGCTGTAAAGCCTTTTGCCCCTTCTACCTCTAGAGAAGAGTCTCCACTAATACACTGAAAATTTAGAAGTACAGTAAAATGTGTTTTGAAAAGACAAAATATACAAAAAGCGAAGGTTTCAAGACTATTAGTATTTAGGTAGAATAGGCACTTATTTGACAACAGTAAAGAGCAAAAGATTAATGCAAACAAAATCTGTAAATTGTTTTTGTATAGCATTTTTAGAAGTGTATTTTCAATAAAAATCCATATTTTAAATATGCTTTCTTGCGCAGTTTTAACGTGAACAAATATTGAAACATTTAATTAGATGCCATGAGATCATGCTGTATTATATAACTATGTGCTGTAAACATGCGTTTCCCTTAACAGAAATACAACACCACCATAGAAATAAGAAGAAATACTGCTTACCTTCCTTCCTTAGAAAATATTCCCTGAAGGCAGAGTAAATCTGATTATAAAATGAAAAACAAGCCTGAAGTGTACAACTCACACACACACAAACAGCAGATACAGTCGCCTCCATGCCTGCTTCTAGCCTTCTGTACGTTTCTCACTTCTTCACATTCTACTTATGCCACAAGGACTCAAACTATGCTTAAAATACTATTCTGCAGCATAGCTGTAGCCACCAACATATTGCATAAATGGTACTTACTGTTCCAGAAGTCACGCATCATCCTATAGGAAACTTACACCTTCAAAAGAGGGATTTGTTACAAGTGAGCAGATTGCAGCAAAACACAGCGCCTGGCTTGTTAGAGAAAGTTGTTACTTTCAGAAATCAGCACATATTCATTAACAGAGCACAGTAGCTTTACATTTCTGTATGTGCATGCATACCCACACACACACACACACACACACACACACACACGCAGAAGGAGTCACAGCCTGTCTCTCACAACCACATGCTAATTGCTGAATGGGGGGAAAATCTTGTTAGTATTACGTGCAATGATTTCTCTTGACCGTGGCTTTTGCATACATTTTTCACATCGCACGACCAAGACCTGTGATGCTACAAAGCATTTCCACCTCACACAGGAGTAATTATTCACATAAGGCACCGAACTCTTTTTGGCTTCCCCAGTGAGAGCGCTACAACTGCAGCAGCAGGGCAGGGTCCCTGTGCTGGCACTCACTTGCTGCAGTCTTTGTGCATGAGTATACATTATAAACTAATTAGTAACACAAAGACATCTGATACCCAAGCACTACAGAAAATCATAGAGAATCAATCAGATCCTACAGCAGGCATGTAGATTGGCTGTAAAAACATTTAACAGCAGGTAGATTTTTTTTCCTGTGCTGTCAAAGTCAAAGGTACCAAAAGGAAGCACACACTAAGGCATTTTTGTTCCACTGTGATATTGATCCAATGCCAGACGTGGTGAAACACAATGGGCACACAGTCAGACTTGGTAAATTAGGTAGATTAGAGATCATTTGATGGTATTCTATTGTTGCTATTGTAATCACAGTAATTTTCACTGGTAATGGTGCTTCGTGATGAAGTGTGGTTCTCACAGGATAATTGTGAAAGGTATCGAAAGATTCAGGGTGTAGCATCTGGTTTTAAAAGCTCTTCAGATTCAAATTGGCATTTTACTTTATCTTGAAAATTTATTAGAGATTCAGATCATGCCGGTTTAAATGGAAAGGTGAAAGCAGAGTAATTTCAATCTATGAATTATTCAGATTCAGACTGGTGAAATTGCCATCCATGAACTGATTCTCTGACAGTCTCTTTTGCAGAGCCTCCATTATGCTTGTCATTTTTATTTCTTTATCTACAATCTCTCCCTCAGTTACTGAGCTCGTCCCTTAGGGCTGCGCTTCACAAACCAAGTATTTAAAATTGGCAATAACCTAAATGTGTTGCTGTCTCGAATCGCAGTCTCCACAGGCTGTCTTTTCCAAATCATTAAAAGCCACATTCACGATGGTGTCTGTTAGGCTCTTTGATTAGATGAATTAAATTTAAAAAACACAAAAAGCCAGCAAAGAGAAGAGACCAGGGTGTCATATCGAAGAAGAGCTATGTTCCTGTAACAGTCCAGCAAAGAAAGTGGTGCTTTGTGCTTGTTCCTTTGTTGTCAGTGTAACCCATTCTAGTTGCATAGCATCACGCAGAAAGAAACAACTGTTAAAGCAGGCTGACTTCATGCCCCGGTTTCCAGCAGGAGCAGATAAGGACTGCGTTATAGACAGACTAATCCACGCAAATGTACAGGCAGAGACCAACCGCAATTAACAGCTTCTTACAGCCAAGAGAAACAGAAGCAGCAGCAGTAGTTGTTGCAGTTGTAGTATTTGTAGTATTAGAAGAAGAAGCGACTGGGTACCCGAAAGGGTTTCATTCTCTCAGACTCCAACTGATACAGATTGCAATCCCAGAGACTCTCCACTTGATGGCTGGTTGTGTCATTGCTAGTCGACTGCTGCCCTGTATCCAGAAGGACTGGGGCTGATTTAGGTCAGAGAGTCTGGTTTCTTGTTTGAGCTTTGCCCTAACTGATGTAAGAAATTGCGGCAATCTGCATCACCAGTCTATCTGACCCTGGGAGGCTGGCACAGCTTCGGCCGTGGAGTACCTGCAAAAGGCCCCAGTCGGACGGACAGTGACAAGTGCCATCTCCTTCATCCTATTGCTGCAGGTACATCACCGTAGCATAAAGAAAAAACCCCTCTCAGTACGCAAAGTGGGAAATCAGGCGTTCTTCCTCAGAGGCAATTTGGGTACAGAGCTCCGAGCAATCCCTGCTCAGCTGAAAATGCTGCCAGGCGGAAGCCAACACATCCAAGCTGTGTCTGTTCCTACGCTAACACCAGGAATATTCCCCTCATATGAAAAAGATAAGAATGAAAAAAAATCTATGCTGCTTTGTGCCTGGTTCTATGCGTCTGCTTTGCCGCACTGCGACTAGAAAACTGCAGCAGTAAGAGCTCTGGCAGTTGCGATAATGTAGAAAGCAGCAGCTCTGTGACACAGCAGTCAGCTGACTCGCAGTGTTATCATTCAATGTCCTCTATAGAATAAGGCCAGTTTCTAAGGTAGCACCAGGAGGATGACCTTGCACGCAGAACCTGGGCAAGAAGGAGTGGCAAGGCTTGTGCACACCTGCGAGTAATTTTGTGGTGATGTACAGCATTATCACCGGGACCCTGTCGGTCTTTAAAGGTCTCTTTTCCCTCTCTTCTTTCCTCCTTGGCCAAACAGACCTTGTCATCTGTTGAGCAGTATTTCTTCCATCACAATATGATCATGTACAGATGATGACAACTATTATCATTAATAACAATGTTTGGGTAAACAGTTTTAAAAACGTTGCCTTTTTTTTCCTTGTGGTTACATTTCCACAAGAAATTGTAGGTTTATATTTACTTCCCCCTCTCTGTGACTGTGGACATGCTCCAGGAGACAGAAAGTTATCAGGTAAACACCCATGAAAGGCAAATCCTAATTGACAAGAGTGTGTCTCTGAGTTCTAATTGAGGCATCTGACTACCTAGACTGATTTTCACAGTTCTCTGTAGATCCCAACTAAATTCATGGGTAGCAGCTTGTTGTTTCTGCCTCTGGGAAATCAGAGGGGAGAAATTTAAACTTCCAGCTGGCAAATAGGCAAACTTACTAGAGTTCTGAGTCAACAGGAGTCAAATACCCCACCGCCACCAGGGGCTTTGAAAGTTCCTGTGGGGAGCATCAGGCAAGCTCTTGAAAACATTCAGCATGTGTCTGCCTACTTAAATTATACCTAAAGCTACAGCAGGTTTGTCAGAAATTGCAATGAATCAACTTGTCAGTCACTTACTGAAAGAATTTCTATTACAGCATGTTATCCTTGGCCAAGGACAGATCATCTTCCATTCATCTCAGTGGATGTGTTGTACGTGCTCAGGCCACAGCTAAATTGACTCTCACAACTGCTACTGTAGACTGTGCAATTTCAGTGAGACACTTTATAAGTTCATTTTAAAGTGCACAGAAAGTCTTATCCTGGAGTTTAGCAACAGCCAAGTAAGGAGCAGCCATTATACATCAAGCTAGTATTTCCTGTGATTTCCATACTCATGCTAAATTACATATGCATGTAATATAAGCATAAATTACAGAATTCTGTTAGAACACAGCAGTTTGCATCAAAACCCAAACAAATTGTAATAAAGCCATAAAATTGGTAAAAGCCCTGCTGTATCTTTAAAGTGCAATTCTCTTGGACAACACAAAGAGCAGAGTGCCCAGGCAATGACTGTAGTCCATTGCTGGATTGCTTCAGGGGGAGGGATGTCTGATCTCATGTGTAGACGGTTAATGGGTGAGTAATGTAGCCACAGTCCTGTCTCTTCCTTAATAATTTTTTATTAAATGCCCTGAAGGCCACTATTTCTGCAATCAGCAAATCAGCACAGACGTCAAGTGGGGAAATGCCTGTGTTCTGCCCTCTGCCTTACAACCCCCAGACCTTGATTACAGGTTGTGCCTCCTCAGCCCCACACATTTGATGCTCCAGACTATCGTTTTACTTGCTCATCTGGGATTTCCTACAGAAGCCTAGGAAAGAAGCATGAAGTCTAAGCAAACTCCTGGAAGCCAGGGATTCCAGTTTTCCTGCCTTGCAGGATTTGCTGAGTGACACATGTTGTCTTGACTGAAGGCTCTTTTTCTGCTGAGCTCTGCATAGCCCCAGTTTTGGGTTTGAGATAAGCTGGATGGCTGCTCCTCCAAAGGGGGCCTTTCAAGCCTCAGCCCTTCCTAAGCAAAGGATGGTCTGTAGATGGCAGAATTTGTGTTTCCACCGACCATTCCTGCCTTTGGAGAGGGAGGGCAGCAGGGAGCACTCCTCTCCTCCAGCCCCCACCTCTGTGGGGGCAGCTACCGCTGTAACAATCTTAAACCTGAATTTTCCACCATGTTTTTTCCCTGTAATCCTGTTGTAGAGGTATTTTATTCCCCCAAAGCCCTGTAGGTTGATACATGCTTTGCAGCCTTTGCTGAGGGAAGGGTGAGGAAAGCCAGCAGTGCCTGGGGGTCAGCAAAGTGTGAAATGCAGGATGGGTCATATCCACTGAGAACACTTCAGAAGCTCTTTAAAAGCCCCCATCAGGGTTTGTTTCTGAGACTGACTTTTCACTTTAGTTTTCTGGTGTTGATGAAGGCTAATACAATTTCCTGCCATGTGTGCAGAGCTCCTTTTCTAGTCATTAACACACACATTTCCCCCCATGAACAAGATCCTAATTTGGTTTTCTTGAAGAAGATTCAAAGATGAGTGTTTTGATTAGTTCTTGTCTATGTATCCATGTGTTTGTACTGTGTTACACTGAATGTTATTGCATTGTGTTCTGGGTAAGTAATCACACTTGCACAAATTTGGGAAAAGAGATTGAAATTTTACCTCATTTACCACTTAAGCACTCCAGGAAAATAACAGATTTAAATTTTGTCTCTTTTCTCCCCTTTTTCTTTTTCACTGTAATGGAAATTGCATCCAAGCCCGTAAACTGGATGCCAAGTTTCAACTGAACACAATTAGAAACAGCTTAAATATTAAACTGAAAGCTGAGGGGCCAATGACATTTAAGGTATGATCTCTCCCAGGCTCTCAACCATAGCACTTCTGACAGAATGCTGTGTTAGAGATTCATTTTTAAGGCATCACCAAATATATCCCCCATATGACCCTACATAAATGACAAATTCAGAATGTTTTGGAAGTCTTTTGGGTGCTGTGTTCCCCTTTATAAACATGTGCAGCACTATATCAATTTGTCAGAATGGATATTTCTTTTGGTATTTCTTATATTGCTTATACTTTTTAGTCAATGTGTACAATTCAATGCTATTTTTTCACCAAATAATATTTATTACAATGGACCTTTTCAGGTTTTTTCTTTTTACTTGTCAGATTTAAGTAAATCTGATCATCTTGATTTTACTGATGCTATTGTGTAGGCAAGTAACAGGGAATACATTAACCCACAGATTTTTCATGGCCATTGTTCATTGACTTGTTTTTTGTCATTACTTCCCGGTCTACAAACCTGGGGCCTTCAGGCATTTTAAATGATAAGCACGTACTGTATGAGATCTCCCCAACAGCTGGTTCTCTTAGGATTTCACCTGTGTCTCTGTGTCTTCAATAAGCTTCATGTAAGTTGAGTCTACTGGGAGACAAGAAAGTCCAAAACTCTTACTTTTCTTCCACAAAATTTGCTAAGGAACTGACTTTTCTGAAATCCTGAAAAGGCCTTCAGTACTAGTCCCCATATACACTTTAAAAATGGCCTTATCAAATGGGACTCAAATTTGACACACAGAATTAAACTTTTACAAACTGCCCTTGGAAGAATAACAGGGGCTAATTAAAAATGTAACTCCTGTCACGGAAGTGAAAGAGAATCCTGTGTATTTCCCAATCCTGCTTCTGCAAATCCTTCCTGCTGAAACAGCTGAATCAGAACAAATTGCTTGTGTGTGAGTTACTTCAGCCATATGGTGAAGGAAAAAAAGAGCCGTGTGCCTCCTCAGCTATGTAGTAAATAGGAACTACCTCCACGTGGGTGTATACATTTATAGCTAATGTGGAGACTTAAATGTGAAATCAGGGAAATTAAGTGAATTTGTGGGTCCCTCTCTGGGACTTGTGGCTTACAACCTGTTAAAAAGATGATATTCAAACAGGTACAGGTATATATTGATATGTATATGTATATATAAATGCTAATTTCTGGTACGAATTACCTTTTCTCATTCAAGTGATTAAAATACAATCAAGACTGTGTGAAAAATAGAACAAAATGGTGATACACAAGCCCCGCTAACAATGACATGGAAAATTTTTGATCCAAAGTGTGAGAGGATCACTGCACAAGGTTGGTGGATAGGATGTGACAGGAATGTCAGTAAAGGACAGGCGCAAAAGAGACATCTTGTTGTCTGTGACACATCATTGGTGTCAGTCACTAATGATCTTCTTGACATGTTGAGAATATAGCTCAGAATGTATCAACATTACTTCTTCTTTCTATCATTACTGTTGGAAGTCTAAGTTCCCATGATAGAAACCAAGGTTTGTGCAAAGGGGTGGTTGCGTGCCTTGAGGAAGATCTCAATTACATGTTTGACCTTATTTGGATACGGCATTTGATAAATCTGGGATAATTAATCACAGAATAATCAATGAGATTATCCATTTGGGGCCTCTGGTTTTTCAGCTTTTGTTTGTGCTTGACTTGGTAGTTCTGTTTGCTGAGAAAGACTGCAGTAATGCCAGGGATGAATGAGGAAACAATCCTGGAGAGAAATGAAAAGGGAAAAATATGGCATAAATAGGGGGACCTCTATAAAAGGACAGAACTGAGAGAGTGCACTGAATGTATTGGCCAAATGCAGCAGTCTGGAGATAAAGCCATTAATCTGCAACAGCCCACCCAGAAACTTGAAATTCTCCACAAACTCTCCGGAACTTAATCCTCTAATAAAAAAAATTCACACCTATATCCAGATCCCCAAGCTGTCAATACTTACATTGTTGTGTATTTTTTGTGTTTGATAGGTAATGATTTTATTTAAAATTCTCATGCACTTAATAGATACATTTTTAATGACCACTATTACTTGCAAAATTAGAAAATAAATCAATATGTTGAGTTAAATTATAAAAATACACACAGCTAAAAATAAAAATTGAAATTAAAAATTACAAATAGAAACAAACATGCAGGGGAGTGCTAAAATGAATGCAATCAGTTCCAGATTTAAAACAGCCTCCCCACACTCACTCTCCCCCCCTTTCCACTACTGGGTGGTCATGGACTCATAGCAGTTACCAGTGGTTTTCTTTAGAGCCATTCCAGACTTCTATTTTCACTCATTTTAAAATTGGAAGAAACTGAGGTATTGACTTAATTTTCTACATGTTCTGCCCTAGGTTTCAAAATTAAGGAAGCAGCCTCCTGAAATGGTGGCAGAGTGTTCCTAATCAGTGGAGCAG